TCGATCTCGTTTCTATCTTTTGTTTTAATACAATGTCTTGCCGAACACATGTATGTATCTAATTATTATTTTTTTACGGACGCGTAGGACTTGCTGACATACATTTCCGTCGCAATGACATCGATGTCAACTTAGATAACTGCATAACGACATATTTACGAGGCATATTTGTCACGTTCTCTGTCGTTTCCATCTGAGCCTCACAGCTGCCGAGCCGTCGGCACCCTCCCGGCGAATCGGCGACTCGCAGTCGCGAAACGGTCTGCCGAGCACAGATCGAACCGAATCGCGAGCAATGTCGATCTCATGAAATGATGTCGATCTCACGAAACGATGTCGATCTCACGAAACGATGTCGATCTCACGAAACGATGTCGATCTCACGAAACGATGTCGATCTCGACCTGTCGGAAACGTCCGGTCGAACCCTCAATTTCTTCGCTCTTTCTTTCCGTTCGTCCCTCCTCGATGATGACAGATCCCGAATCATTAGATTTTTTGATGATGATGATGATGATGCCACTCCCTATGGAAATTTCTGTCCTTTCGAATCGTGGAATTTTTTCTTAATGGTATTGGCACGCATCCGAGGCCCGGAGGTCCAGCGGCCACACGTTTTTTCACAGATTCAGATGAGCCTGCTTAAATCTCATCTGAATCTCCGAAAAAATTCTGGAAAAGTCTCGATCGCTTCTTTGCGAGACGAATTTTCGGATGATGCCGCGTGAAAATGTCGAAATCGAACCGCCTTCCGGTCGCACCGCCTTCCGGTCGCCGCACGCACCTGCCGCCATCCGACGAAGTTTCTCGCGTTGCCCGCGAGCTTTCTCAGAGGCAACAGTTGTCACTTCCTGTTCCGCTGGATGAACACGAACCGCCTAATTAAATTGACAGCCCGAAAGAGAACGGAAAATGTGGCACAAGAACGAGAAGAATCCCGGGGAAAGTGGAAAGCGAAAGTGGAGCCTTTTTTCCCCCTTAGATCCTGCCGGCGCTGCGAAGCTTCTGCATCTACGCCTCCGTGGGGATGCTGTGCCTCTACGTCTTCCAGACCTCCTTCTTCGTCGCCTGGTTCACGCTGGACCAGCGGCGGATCGAGGCGAACCGGGACGGGCTCCTCCCCTGCGTGAAGCACCGCGACTGGAAGCCCTGGGCCTGCAGCCAGCTCAGATTCGGGCAGATCATCTTTCGGGATTATTTCTCCAAGTTCTTGCTCAAGACGCCGGTCAAGGTGGGCTTCGCTCCCTTGCTTTCCGCATTTTTTCTCGGATGGAAACTTCTAAAATGCCATCTCGACTCCTGTGCGTCTGTTGCAACTTGAATTGTTAAAAGAAAATTGGACGAAAATTCCAGAGAAGAGCAGGAAGAAGATGTAGATGAAAATGCCTTTCTCTTGCTTATTCTTGCTGAGCTTCGTAATCGAAGCTCAGCAAGAATATCTCCGAAGCTCTATCTCCGTTCTCCAGGCCCCTTTACTAAAAGAAAATACTTAATATTTAAATTATATATTTTTTTAAATCGATCCCAAGGAGGGAAGTTCCACTTCCTCATACTATTATTTTTTCTCAAACGATCAGATCGCGGTGATCTTCCTGACGACGGTGATCCTGGCTCTGAACATCTGGGGGTTCATCAACCTGCGTCAAGAATTCGATCGAACCTGGTTCCTCCCGACCTCGTCTTACCTCTACAAATTTTTCGACCGAACCAAGGAATTCTTCCCCGGTCAGGGGGAAAAAGGTTCCGTGTTCATGGGTCAGCTGAATTACGCGATGGAATTGGAAAACATCGATCGATTGGCGAGGGGGTTGCGGGCGCAGAAGGAATCGATCCAGGAGGTTGTCGTCTGGACGGACGACTTCCTCCCGTGGATGCAGAAACACTTTAACTTTTGTGAGTGTCGGTCCGCTCGGTGTCGGCTCTGGACCTGCAGAATTCTTTGAATTTTTTTTTTTTTACTCGACAGCGGCGTCGAGAGATCGGGTGAGCGACGTCGATTTCCGGAGCAATCTGTCCTTGTTCCTGCACAGTCCGAAGGGGCTGAGATATCAGAGTCATTTCAAGTTCGATGGGGAACTCTCGTGTCGAGACCCGGTTCCGAAGATCTTGGTCGGTATTTTCGCCTCGGAGTTTTTTTTTTCTTGTTGCTTTTCCGAGACTTTCTGTGAACGAGGGATCGTCTTGCAGGTGAGTCGGATGGATTACCAGCACTTTTGGATGGGGGGTCCGGAGGAACACGTTCCGGCGATGCATCAGGTGAAGAACGTCGTTCGAGCGGCCAACATCTCCTCCGGTACGTCTGCACTCGAGTTCCCGTTAAAATCAGGTTCAATTAAGGCAGAAGGGCAGAAGTGATTTCCCCCGAAATCATTTCCGGTTCGACCCTCGGTGATGAGGTGTGAGAGAAAGACGAATGGAAGGAAAATTGCTTGATCGTAGGGGATGGGATGGTGAGAGCCTGGGCTCGGGCGTATCTCAATTGGGAGACCGACGACGTCATCCAGACGGAATTATACCGGAATCTTGCCTTTGGACTCCTCTGCGTCTTCTTCATGACTCTTCTCCTCATAGCCAACATCCACACTTCCCTCATGGTTTTCCTCTGCGTCCTGATGACCATGGTCGGTTTTTCACGCGCGGTTTCGTACTCGCGATCTTTTTCATTCACGCGCAACGTGACGACCTCGACCTCGACCTTTTCGGTCGTTCAGGTGAACATGGCGGGTCTGATGCACTGGTGGGGGTTGACGATCGACACGGTGTCGTCGCTCAGCCTCATTCTGGCCATCGGGTTGTCGGTCGACTATTCGGCGCACGTGGGTCACACTTTCATGACGTGTCAGGGGACCAGGGAGGAGAGGGCGGAGAAGACTCTGGCCACCATCGGACCGGCCGTCTTCCATGGGGGATTTTCCACCTTCCTCGCCTTCATTCTTCTCTGTCGAACGGATTCTCACGTCTTCTCCACCTTCTTCAAGGTCGCGCTCACTCGATCGTCTTCTTCGCGTCTTCGTGTCTCCCCGTCGCATATCGAATCCCGGAATTTTCCTTCCAGATCTTCTTCGGAGTCGTGATCTTCGGGTTGTACCACGGCCTGTGCTTCCTACCCGTGATCCTCAGCCTCGTCGGACCCAGTCCTTACGGCATCGCGCACAAAAAGCACTTGACCAAGACGCCTCCCGATCAAAACGGACAAACCATCCTCTCCGACAAAAAACAGGTGAGAGACAAGGAACCTCGGAAAACCGACGTCTTCGACGGACAGAGGAAGGACCGTTGTTTATGGGCCCAGGTGAGCAAGTTGGGAAAGCACAAGAACCGACACGGCCTGCCGTCGAATCGGAAGCAAGGCGAAGCGGAGGAGAACGGGGACGGAGGCCCCAACTCCCTGCCTCTCAACAGCCTGGCTTACCCGGACGTGGTAGTAACGATTCCATCGGAGAGGTGTCGCGGGAGTCGCCCTGCGTCGTTCAGCGAGAAGCAGCCGGGGGCAGCACCCTACATCCCACCCCCGGACTACACGCCACCTAGTCGGCGCAACTCTAGTCATCGACCGTCCCGTCAAGATTCCTATTGGCTGAACAGGTAGGCCGCGGCCTTCGTCGCCCGCCGTGGCCTTCGTCGCCGGCCGTGCCCCCCCCCCGCGTGTGGATCGAGACGAACTCCCCGGTCCGGTGTCTATCCACGCCTAGCTCGTTATTTATATGAGCCCATCAGAGACCCTTCCTCGACGATCGACCGTTGTATTTGCTCAAGTCACGAGTCTCTCGTCCCGTTTGTGATGAGTCTCCCGAAGGCGGAGGGAAAAAAGTATGCACGAACGCGGAAGACGAGAGTGTGACGCGAAACACACACGGTGACCTCATATCCCATTTCTTTTTCTTTTTTTTTCTTCAGAGGTTCTACGTGCTGCTTCTTCCCTTTTTGCTCCCTGGAACCTCATCGTGTTTTATATCGTTTACTTTCGAGAGAAACTCCAAAAGATGACAAAGTTTCTCTGTGTTTCCATCGTGTTTGCTCGAAAATGATTATTTTTGTAGCCAAAGGCTGAATGTCCAGGGTACCGACGGTGGGCAAAATAAACCCCCGGGTATGCAAAAATGTATGTTCCAGTGTGACGATGTGTCGATGAATGTCCGATATCACGTTATATGTGAGCCTGCTCCAGCTGAATAAATGCCGGCAGCAAGACGGAGTACGTACTACATGGTTCGAATCCTTCCGGACGAAAAAGAGAAAGAAATCGATGCGTTCGCGATCACTAGAGAGACCGAGAAAATGAGACCCTACGAGAACTCCCTCAAAACGCCAGGAAAGGCATTAATCATTTGCGAGATCGATTCCCTCGAGCTGTGGGTAAAAGTATGGTATGATTTTGCAATCGAGGGGATGGGGTACGTTACGTATTTGAGGGCACACGGCGCATATCCCCGAATGAAATGCACTCACGGTAACGTTTGATGGGAGTTCGCGAGGAGACGATCGTTCGACACGTTTTTCATTCCGTCTTGATTTCATGATCTGTCGGAAAGTGTGATGATGGATTCCCAAGCCGTATTTCGTGCGGGATGCGGTTAAACCTGCAATCGACATTTCAACGATGCGACCATCTTTCCCAGAAGAGAGAAAGGAGAGTAGAAAGCGAATGCACCTTAATCTCGGAGGAAAATCTGAATCGTCAACTTAAAGCGAGTCTTTTGAAACCATCGCGTCCAATGTGGAAATCTTCCATGAGGATCGTGAGGAAGTCTGTCGGTCTAGTTGGATATGCACCACGTGGAAAGGGTTCATCTCGTGCCTCTTCTCCCCCATATCGATCTAACGTGCTGAAAATTGTGGTTCTGAGAAGTCCGAAACCTTTGGCGGAATAAAGGAATCTCCTGCAATATATTAGTCCGCTTCGAGTGGTCCAGAGGATTCACGGGACCCTTTCGTGCCAGCTTACGTTAAGGCGTTAACGCAGTATTTTCTCATTCTCGTTCTCTTTCCGGTTGAGATCAAAGACTGCATGTTTCCTCTACCCGTATTCCCAAGGATTCTCCACGTATTAGCCCTTTTGAATGGAATATAATGTATAATATTAACGACATTTGAAAAGAGTGGAAAGACCGTGCACCTCTATCCATCTCAATCGCGAACGATTCAAGTATAGCGAGGGGGCAAAAATCGAAAGACAGTGGAATCCTTGATAAAGAATTCCCACTCGGACCTCAACCCATTTTTAACGTGATGACGATGACCTCTCTGCAGTAACACGAGATCCAAGCTGTTTTTGCAGGAGTCGGTCATTCCAGTAAACGATAGATCGTATCCTAGTCCAGTTGATCCACAAGTACAGAGGTAATGCCACTTGCTCTTGGGATCAGTCTCTTCCCCCCCCCCCCCCCCCCCTCCGTCCCCTGGCCCCCCGAAAGTGGACACGACCAGGTAGGAGTCCGATGTGTCGTCGATCTCACCGACTAGTCGATGATAGGTAATGGAAATAAAAGTATATAGAAAGGCGAGGCCCGGGGGATCACAAGGTCAGACGAAGGAAAACTTGCTCGCCGTCTGCCAATAATAAAATCTCAAGTTTCTCCCCGTCGCCCTCTCGGTAGGCCACGCTGAGAAGTTCCGGACCTTCTGCTTTCACTCGACTTCGTGATTCGAGTTCGGTCGAGGTCTGCATCGTGGTGTTTCTGGTTTTCTCGTGCCGTATAGAGTGGTGGACTGTTTTCTTTCTCGCTTTGCCTGCCTCCCCGTGAAGTCGAAGCAGCGCTCTCCCCTTCTGCACATCAATGCGCCGAATGGTCAGTGTAAGCTTAAGCCTTTGCCTGATGCCATCGCAACACCGGGTCGTAACGGGGGAGTAAGGTGACTGGGGTGAGTTGAGTTGGGCTGGCTGCTTCGAATGTAACGGGATGGGGAAGATGGAAAACCTTCCCACTTGAGTCGTTGCGTTATTACAGAGGAGGGAGGAGGTAGGGGTGAGGGAAGGGAGAAGACTCGCCTATACCTAAATGAAATATACTCATGGTAACGTACGATCAAATCTGAACAACGAAGAAAATGGGTGTCCGCGTGGGGTTCAACACGTTTTTCATTCCCTCATGCCTTTATGATCCAGAACGATCTATCAGAAAGTGTGATGATGGATTCCCACGCCCTTTTTCGTGTGGGATGCGGTTAAACCAGCATTCGATATTGATTATTTCCAGATCTCCGGAAAAGAGAAAGGAGAGTAGAAGGAGAATGTACCTTAATCTCGGAGGAAACTGAATCGTCATCTTAGCGAGTCATCTGAAACTATTTCGTCCAACATGGAAACCTTCCATGAGGCTCGTGAAGTGATATTAAGCTTCTCTTCTTGCCATTCCTCACCTTCCGTATCGTCTTAAAGCTGCACATTCTACTCAGAAGTTAGAAATGCACAATTTGGATAGGGTTAACTTCTCTATCTCGATCTGAGGTGCCGAAAATCGGATTTCTGAGAAGTTGAACCGGGCGATTGGAACCAGCATTATTTGTCCAGTCCAGAGACTTCCCCAGCGAGTGGTGTGAATCGCTTCGTTGCGCTTTTTCAGGAACTGCTGATCGAAATCCAGCAATCTCAGAACAGGAAACGATTGGCGAAATAAAAGAAGTAGAATCTCCTGCAAGGAATTCGCCTGCTTCGAGGGGACTGGAGGATTCACGGAACCCTATTACGGCAGCTTGCGTTAGGGAGCAGCAATTTCTCGGTCTTCCTATCTCTCCTGTCAAAATCAGGAATCTCATGTTTCCTCTTATTCCCAAGGATTCTTCACTCATCAATAGATGCGGTAGCGCCTATTACCTTTCTCCAAACCCCTTCCCGTAACAAAATTGAACCTCCTCGCTCTCATCTCTGGGAGCATCAACAGGAATGAAATTGGACATGCTTCTTACCTTCTTCCCAAACAGAATCGCTCCGGCAAATTTGAAGCTCCATCTACCCGGTGTTGCCGAGAACACTGAATTTCGGTTATTGAAGATGTGAATTTCATTCCTTTTTTTTAATTCCCCCCCTGGGTCACTTCTGTGCGGTTTCGGAGAAAAGAGAGCAACAAAAAGGAAGATAATGAGAAAAGAGAGCAACCAAAAGAAAGATAATGACTCATAAATCACGAAAATTGAATTTTTTGCTGCTTGCGATGCACCATTTAACCATCTAAAATGAAATTAGCTTTCGTTCATTTAGGCTAAGCGTGCTGGCTCCAATGCCGCCCCCCACGGTTGCCAGATATCGCGCTGGAGTTTTCTGTGATTCATGACCACTTCTGTCTTCGGTGTCTGGACCTTTTTTTAAATGTATGATACACATTTGTGTTGAGTTCAAGGGATGAGGGAAGACTGAAACATTGGCCATTCGATAAGGTACGATATGTAGATATCGTGCATGGGCATCCTTACTGATGATGGCACCCAAGTTGCATTTCATTCTCCGGGGGCATTCTCTCCTCAGACCTCGTCGAGAAGGTTCGAGTAACTCCAGATACGGTAGGTCTAACGTTAGTCTTCACAGAAATGGTTAGTGGAACTCGAAACAGGCTCATAATCGGTCCAACGTTAGTGTCCAATCTGAAATGCTTCGCGAAAGCTATAACTGGCCCATAATCTACCTAACGTTACTCATTCTCGGCAAGTTCTCGAGACCCTTATCGGCCTATGTGGTGAGTGTAAGTCGAGAATTGAGATTCTTTTCAATGAAAAAAAGGTAGGTCTAGTCCTGACGTGAAGACAGTCCGTGTGTTAGGCCTAGGCTTTAACGTTAGTGAGTCCAGTAGAGAAGCGTGGGGGGGGTTGAAGAAAGGGAAAGCCTTTTGAAAAATGGATTTCACACTACTTCATTTATATTATTACCGACATTGGAGAAGAGGATCGTGGAAAGACGGTGGACCCCGATCCATCTGATTCGCGAACAATACAGGTATAGCGAGACGACGAAAATCGAAAGACGATGGTATCCTCGACGAAGAATTTCCACTCGGACCTCAACCCTTTATTAACGTGATGAGGATGACCTGAATCTGCAGTAACAAGAGATCCAAACTCTTCATGCAGGAATCGGTAATTTCAGTGGACCGTATCCTGGTCCAGTTGATCCACACATACAGACATGATGCTGCATACTCAGGGGGGATCAGTCTTAACCCCCCCTTCTCCTCCCTCTCCCTGCCCCACCGAAAGTGGACTCGACTGTGTAGGGGGTCCGGTGTGTCTTCGATCTCCCCGACTAGTCAATGATAGGGAATGGAGGAGAATAAAGGTATACGGAAGAGCGAGGTCTTGGGGGGGTCATAAGGCTAGACAAAGGAAAACTTGCTCGCCATCTGTCGATAATAAAATCTCAAGTTTCTCCCCGTCGCCCTCTGGGGCATGCCATGTTGGGAAATTCCGGCCCTTCCGCCTCCTCTCGACTTCGTGATTTGAGTTCGATTGTGGTCTGTATCGTGGTGTCTGGTTAGCTGGTGTCATGACGTAGGCCTATTTTCCTTCTCATATCGCTAGCCCTTCCGTGAAGTCGATGCAGCTCTACCTTCCTACACATGAATGCGTCGAATGGTCAGTGTAAGCCCTTTGCGTCTTGCC